AACTAGCACGTGTTGCGAGAATACTTTTTTACTTTCTTGCTTCTTCTTTTCCTTTGATACAATGAATATATATATCATAGATTCGTATGCGCTAGCTTACCCTAGACATGGTACTGCCAACCTGAAGACCGGCTGTAAAAAACCCCAGTCGAAAGTGGGGGAAAAAGCCTGGTCCCAGCAAACAAATTAAACTAAAAGAATATATACATAAAATGATAAAAACAAAATATACAAAGTAAAAAACCGTGAATTAAACTAGATCTTAAAACTACCATGCACTTGCATAATCATTCACACTGTTATAAATTCGTACAATCGAGAGCTCTCTTACCAATCGTATCGGATGGTGTCCCGCCGACGTCGCAACAAATCGTCGTGGTCCTTACCAAAAAATTACAAACCCTGATCACAGGAGGCGTCCCGGCAAAGAGGACAAAGTGGCCGTAAAATCGCACCACTAACTGTACGGCTAGCCAGGTGGGCAGAATCAACCGATCGCCGAACTGTGCGCACATTTAGCCGTTTGAACCACCCACAAGATCGCCCGGCCGTGCAGACAAATGACAGCACCTAGTGCTTCAACAATAGGACACACGCACGACAGCCACAGCGCCCGTCAACGAACACCACCAGTATCAGATCCAAACCACAATTCGCTCCTTTACAAATTTGGAAAACTTGGAAAAACTTTGGGAAACACCCGCACAAATTGACCGATCACGGTTCAATGCGCGGGCCCCGTCCCGGGCCATACCCCGCCACCACCACCGACACGCCGCTCGCGCCTGCGCAGTGTCGCGTGACAACGTCCAACCGCACACCCTCACGCAGCGCCAAATTTGAAACAAACCGCTCGAGCAAGTATGCAATCGCGCGACGCGAACACGCACTATGCTTTATTTCGAAGCAAATATACCCGACTGAGAAAGCATTATATATATTCCATCCTTCTTCTACTAACCGATGTCAATGCTCAGTCGAGCCTGAAATTTATTACCCTAAACATCGGCTCCGCGCTTTCATAGACCTCTTACTCATTTCTCGTACCTCTCACTTTGCGGGCGACTTCAAACAAAGAAGAGGGGATAGCGAGTTGCTTATTTCGAAGCAGAGACCACTTGCTTATTTCCAAGCATTACTGTATATTTTTTTTTTTGTGTGTTCACCGATTACTCCGAGATGGATGGAACAATCGGAACGAAACCTTTTGCATCTTGTAGGATATGTCTTCCGATTGGTCCCAGTGAAAAATAATTTTTCATTTTTTCATTGTTATTGCAAAATAGAGGAAGCTTTTAATCTCAAGATTGGACAATTTCAATGACCTTTTAATATGTTGTCGGGGGCATAATTCTGAACAACTTTTTCATTATGCATAATTAACGGAAAGTTTTAGTTTCCGAGATATTCGTGAAAAACTATTGTTACTACTGCATTGAATTATACATATGCCTACGTGTCTCTACCGGTGTATGAGTCAGCATGCAGTCGCCGATTCTCTACTGTTTCTATATACATATGTATACTCTACAAGGCATGTACCGATTGCGATGAAACCTTTCGTATTTAATAAGAGATATTTCCGCGATGATCCCACTTGCAAAAATGTATGGAACTTGGTATCGTTAAAAACTATCGTGGTAAAACTTCGTCTTGGGGGACCAAAAATTAAGGGGTCCTTTTTTTTTTTTGTTGTTGTTTTTGACCTGAAATTTTAGAAAATACAAGTTAAATGTCCAGGAAACCAATAGTTTAAGAAATACAAGTGTTTAAAAATGTACGTATTTAGTGACATTTCAGAGGTTAGAGTGACGCCATATTGTTTCTACCCATCATCTGATTGGTTCGTTTAAGTGACTAAGTTCAAGTTACCTTATTCGAAAACATACTGCTTCTTGATTGCTGCGATCAAGGAATCCATAAGATGAATTGTGTGAGTTTTGCAGTATTTTCTCCACAAATACTCACACAGGCGATCGGCAAAGTCTTCGTCATGGAAGCGGCCTCTTCCGCGCATCCAATCCTTTGCCGGTCGCCAGTTCGCTTCAATTTGTTGCGTATGAGTTCCATCAGGCGCTGTAATTAAAAGATACACAAAACATTAATTTAATATCACACCATTGTGACCGACCGCCTTGCGGCGGCCGGAAATTTTAGTATAGCCTAACCAAACTGAAATAATTACCAACAAATTCGACGCTATGATTCACCATCTTATGGATGAATCCTTCAGCAGCGAGACCCATGTAACTCCTAAATGAGTCCGTATGGATCTCACTGCCTGCAGCAACATTTTCTTTAATTAGGGGGATCAAGGTTGCCGCTTCCCGGTCTTGAACGACAACCATTCTACAATCGTTGGTCGATGTGTCGACCATGCCAAGTACCCAGTGGCCGTCGAGTATACGGCCACGGTTGTATGTACTTCCGTTTTCCAAATTTGGCCTCGATCTGAATAATATTTTTATTCGATCTGAAATAATATTTAAAGTGTAGTAGTACAAAACAGGAATAATAACAAAATTAATTGAAAACAGTATAAAAAATTACCTGTACAACGATTGCAGAACCTCCTTCATCGATCCCGCCTAATTTCGGCTTGCCCGCTTGCATTTTGCAAACGTGGTCCACTATCATCTCCCGACAGTAGCGGAACCACGCTGCAATCGTGTCCGTTGACAACACTTCCTCATCTTCTCCTACGTCGGATACCTCCGTTGCGGTAACCTCGTAGGAGAAGTCGGAAGTGAAGCAATACATAAGCCTTAAAAAAAAATATATATATATAAGAACCGATTATAAATTTAATTGAAATTAATAATCAAATGATTTCAAATGAAAATTTACTTTATTGCCTTATGTAAGGGCAGACGGACATCCTGAAAGAAGGAATCGACTGTGGCCGCGTACTGTTTGCAGTTACCGCGGCCAGCAGGGCATCGGAAACGGCCAAGACCGTGTTCCCCGCCTGCGTAAAGCTTCATGGGCCGGCGATGGGTACTACAATTTCTTGTAGTACGTAGGAGTCCTTTCTCCCTGGCCCATGAAACAGCCGATTCCTTCGAAGCGGGCAAGCTGCATAAATCATATTAAATGAAATTCATAAAAACACAGATACTACATACAAAATATACAGAAAATTAAAATGTATAAATTATATTAAAGAAAATAACACATAAAATTCAAATACCTGCATAAATTATATTTTATCGTACTCATTATATCGAAATATACAAAAAAACACAAAAAATATAAAAAACACACAAAAAATAAATAAAAGATAGAAAAAACACACAAAAAATAAATAAAAGATATAAAAAACACAAAAAAAATAAATAAAAAATAGAAAAAACACACAAAAAATAAATAAATGATACAAAAAACACAGCAACAATAAAAGACAGTTCCGACAATAATGTTACGAAGAATATAACAGTTCCATAAAAAAATTGATAGAGTTAACAAATGATACCTGAAATAAATGAACAGATTGAAATTTACGCGCGAACCTTCGTGCGAACCAATCAGAAGATGGGTAGGAGCAACATGGCGTCGTTGTAACCTGTCAAACGTCACTAAATACGTACATTTTTAAACACTTGTATTTCTTAAACTATTGGTTTCCTGGACATTTAACTTGCATTTTCGAATGTTTCAGGTAAAAACCATAAGATTTGATACTTTTCATCCAGAAATTTTTGGTCCCCCAAGACGAAGTTCAGCCACTATCGTTATTGCAATTAACCAATAAGAACGGTGAACCACCTTACGACATCCTACAAATACTGCTCGTTCCATTAAAAAGTATGAAATAAAATAAGGGTATAGTTCCGAATAGCCCCGGCGGAGGGGGTGGTCCCCCTTTGGAGGGGGGGGGGGGGGGGGGGGGGGAGACCCCAAATATCAAACGGTATCCACATCAGACCAGTAGTTTCGGAGATATTAATTAAAAACTTTCGCAGAATACATAGAATTCTGCCTATACAGATATCACTAACACAACCATCCCCGCTGTAGAAATCGTGGTCGTCGAGTGTCAAGTAGCCGATGACACAGTAGGGGGCCTCGACCTGAGTAGGGTGTCTCATTCAGTTGTGATCATTGTACCATTGTAATCTATAGGGTGTCTCATTCAGTTGTGATCATTGTACCATTGTATTTAAAGTAATTATTCTTGTGTTTTAGGCTTTGCCCCTCCCCCGGCACCCCCGCCACGGAGAATATAACCTAACCTAACCTACTACGGTTTGATATTCGTAGACGAACAAAGTGTTACCTTCTGTTCGTATATGTATAACTGGCAAATTCGCCTTACATATGCCTTACATTATTGGGTAAAATTCTGTGTAAAGTTGTTTGCGAATATTTCGACAGCTTGTTATTTCCATTAAAAACAAAAATCATATTCGTATTCAGCATATCAAAACGAGTAAAACGATGAGATTAATGTAAACGTGAACCACAGTTTACAAAATAATGCGCTTTATATATATACGACACCATGTAGATACCCAGGTCGAGACCCCCTACTGTGCCATCGACTGCTTGACGCTTGACGACCACGGTTTCTACAGCGGGGATGGTTGTGTTAGTCATGTCTGTATAGGCAAAATTCTATGCATTCTGCGAAAGTTTTTCATTAATATATCCGGAACTACTGGTCTGATGTGGATACCGTTTGATATTTGGGGTTTTCTCCCTCCCCCCTCTTCCCCCTCCAAAGCCCATGTCGATCGGCCACCGGGGCTATTCGGAACTACAGCCTAAAATAATTTTTAACAAAAAATACAACCGACTTCGAAATGCACTAAAAAATATGAAATAATTTCTACTTCATTTATACAAATACTCAACAGCTGTTTATATTCGGGTATTTTTAATTTTGCGCCGCCTCCGAAAAGGTTGAGATGTGTTTAGTATACTATTTAACGAGTAAATAGGTTTTATTAATAGCTGTTGGGTATTTGTATAAATGAAGTAGAAATTATTTCATAATTTTTAGTGCATTTCGAAGTCGGTTGTATTTTTTGTTAAAAATTATTAAAACATCTTTTCCATAATGCTGAGATCCTTATATTATAACATTAAATCGATTTTCAATTTTATTATAAAATGAAGTGATTATTCGTCCAAATAATAATCCAAATTATAGCCAGAAGAAAAAGTATCCACAGCGCGTGTTCACCGACCGTTAAACATCTTGAGCGCGTGCAAAAACTCGCACACAATCGAAGACACGACTTGACGATGACAACAAGTTCAACGAGCGAATCGCCCTCCCAAAGTCGGCTTGCGTCGCGTCGTTTAAAATCGAAAGTTTCCACCACCATCGTTGCGTCGCTGAGCTGAACCCCCTCCACCATACACGGGCCCTTCGTCGTTCGTCGCCATTACAGAATCATTCCGAATACAACGGTCGAACCGTATGGACATATTATAATATACTCACTCGTGCGTTTCTTGGTTCAGAAAAATTAACCTATGTTAACATGTGTATAAACGTGTGTTAGGTCTAGCTAGTTATTCAGTTTTACTAACTAACTTTTTGTAATTATACTTTGAAATTTCATTAATTTCGGTTGTCGGTTTTTTTCTGTAGCTGTTTGTTCGGGTATCGAGACAAGTTCTGAAGTTGCGAATTCGGTGCCCGTTTTTCGCGAAGAAGGCTTTATCGAAGAATCATCGTTTTTGGTCGACGTTTCTTTATGTGGAAACGAAAACTGCAAGCAAATCGAACTTGGAAAACGTTATTACCCTCAACCTGCGGACTACGGGCATCTTCGAATTCTGGTAAGTGATACAGTTTCTATTTCCTTTGACATTGTATCTTTGCATGAAAATTTTCATTCTGCGTTTAATAATGATTGGCGTCGGCAGAAGCGAATTAAGTGAAGGGGGCATTTTCCACGATACATAGAAAATAAGCCAATTTCAAGTTCATTTTTCTCAGAATTTACTTTAGGCATCAATTTCAAATTACTAGAGCATCTAGTGTATCATACTAGATGCGTACTTGAGCTACAGGAAATATTGAAATACGGAATAGAAAAAATTATACAATCTTATAAATGTGTGGATTTATTTGTACTCTAACCTTCAACATAAAAGATGTTGCTAATCTTATTGTAAGCCGAATTTCAAAAAAATCTTTTCCTAAAATATGTGTTACCCTTAATAGTAAAAGCCCACGGAATTGTAACTAAATCGGCCGAATGAATACTGAGAAAAACGAACATAAGTACAGGAAAACGTGTGATTTTATAAAGGCAGCATTTTCTAAAATTTTGCCTCTATCAGTAACTCACGCTTAACTTTGTGAACAATTCTCAAAAATGGTTTATTATTAAATAAAGAAATAATTTGATTTTCGGACTCCCAAAATGCCCACTTTTTTAAAGATTTCTGGTGCCCCGGGATTATCAAACTTTCATGGGCACTCATAGTTGATAAAGGGTATAGCCGGATAAGATGGTCAAAAGTGCCCCCAAACCAAATTCGACTTGCAATGGCTCATTTGATAGCTTATCAAAAAGCTAAATATACAGAAAAAAAAAAATCAGCGTGAACAGACTCGAACCTACGAAAAGCCTAGCAGCGGTTTAGCAGTCAGGCGCCTTAACCGCTGGACCAACGACACCGTTGGAAATCCTTTCGATTTTTTGATATATATAGCACATAAAGTACTCTCAATAATTCTGGTTTATTAGTTTTTTAAATTCTTATTGTGTTTCACTGTACGTAAAAACATTGAACATTGTATAACACACTTACTTGATAAAGAACAGACGAAAATTCGCAGTACAAGTAACTCTGACACGCAAAAAACAGCGAAAAACTCAGTTTTTAATTTTTTTAACTATGGCGCACCTGACCAAAAATTCTCAAAAAAATTGAGAATAATAGTATCGATAATATACACTTATGAAAAAAATATGAATCTAGATCCGCGACTCCTTCTATACAAAATCGCCATTTTTCCGAATTTTTAGACATTTTTGATTTTTCACGGCTTCAGTTTTCAATCTAAAAATCTGAAAAAATTCTGTAATATGTGCCTCACAAATAGAAATGTCTCTGATTTTTTTCCGAATTTTCGAATGTTATTAAAGCGGAGAAATTGGCAAAAAACCTCGCAATTACATTTTTACCCGTAACTACCCTCCCAGATAACATACAGAGTTGAAACTTGGCACAGACTAGTTTTTCTTGATCACCTATCGAATGGTTCATAGCAAGTCGAATTTGGTTTGGGGGCACTTTTGACCATCTTATCCGGCTATACCCTTTAGTTGGAAAATTGCAATTAGTTCAAAGTACTGTACTGGATCGATAACACTGTCCAACACGAATTTTGTTTTACCAATAGCCAGTGGGTGATCGTTGTAGAGCTTCTCGTCCTGAACACGAATCCGAAAACCGAATTGCTCTATCACCCCTCAGTTTTCAAAAAACACGAGTTTTTGTAAAAACATGTATTTTGGGGGGAAAATGACGTATTACGCGGAAACTAAAAGCGCTAGAACGTTCGCATTGGTCTCATAAGATAGAAGAGAGTTTCCCGAATACATTCATATATATAGTTATTATATTACATGGTTCTGAATAGATGTAAATGTTGATGAAAGTTTAAAAAATAGCCGGCGCACGTATTTCGTACGTATTACTTTTGTATTTTTAAGAAAAGTTTTCTATCTAGCGCGAATTCTCTATACAGTACCGAATTCTGTAGACATTTCCGAAGAAGAAACTATATGGGGTAAGTATTGGAGCAGTATGCACTTCGAGTAAATCGAAAAAATATCTGCCGGTGACGCGTGCACGGCGTTTTGCCGCCAAGCGGCCATAGCTCGCTCTCTTCGCCTAGTCAGTGCCGTAGCTACGCGTAATCAACACTAATGGTGGGGTTTAATATACATTCACCTTTTATATCTATAATGTTTGATTTTTTTTTTGCTTTTATTATTATTTCATAATTATTATTTCTCTTTTGTTGTTATTCATCATTATTGTTAGATACCAACAATAAAATGATAAAATACTTTAATTTAAAATTTTAAAATCGATTGACGAGCATTACGACTTTATCAATCGACAGTCGATTGAAGACAATTTTGAAATTTGTTTATGATATAGAAAGAATAAAATGTATAAGATAAAGAATTACCTGCAGTAAACGAACTTAAAAATGTTTTCGTCTTGCTTGACGTTTGTACTTCACATCTTTGTTGTCCTTCATCAAAGTCCAGCAATAATCTGCTAACATTGCACATGATTTTTTTCCTTGGTACCGTTTTTCCATCCTAAAAATGTCTTGGTGGAAACGTTCTCCATGTTCGTCACTCACATCACCGAGATTTGGCGGAAAGAAGTCTAAGTGAGAATCTAGGAAGTGAATCTTCAAAGACATATTGCATCCGAGTTCTTTACATGCTTTCAGGAGTTTATTGACTATGGAAATATAATTTCTTGCTCTATGGTTTCCGAGAAAATTATATGTTGTTTTCTTGAATGCAAGCCACACTGCTTTTTCCAAATTATTCAGTTTTAATGTGAAATTGTTATCATTCATCAGATTTCTAATTTGAGGGCCAACGAATATTCCTTCTTTTATTTTTGCGTCGGATATTAATGGGAATTTTGTTTTTAAATATTCAAATCCTGGTCCTGATTTATCCATTGCCTTAACAAAATTTTTCATTATCCCTAATTTTATGTGTAGCGGTGGTAAATAAACATTTTGAGGATCGATAAGATTTGTATGTTTTACATTTTTCTCGCCAGGGATTAATTGTTGCCGCGGTGTCCAGTCTTTTTTTATATAATGCTGCTCCCTTGCTCTGCTGTCCCACTCACAAAGGAAACAGCAATATTTTGTATAGCCTGATTGTAGTCCGAGTAATATGCCAATCACTTTTAAATCTCCACATACTTTCCAATTATATTTATTATATTGAATCTTGAGTAAAAGTGTTTTGAAGGTGTCATAAGATTCTGTCATTTTTGCAGTATATGCGATTGGAATGGAAGGATATATATTGCCAATGTGTAGTAAAACTGCTTTTAAGCTAAGTTTTGACGAATCTATAAAGAGTCGCCATTCTTTCGGATCATGCTCGAAACCCAAAGTATGTAATAATGAGTCAATATCGGTGCAGACGTGAAGTTCCTCGTGTGTTGTGAAATATTCTAATAACGCATGATTTCGAGTTCTGAAATGTGTCACTTTTGTTGCGTTCTCGAGTAAGTTCCACTGTTTTAATCGTGATCCTAAAAGTTCTGCCTGTTCTTTCGATAACTGCAAATCTCGTACGAGATCGTTAAGATCAGATTGCGATAAAAGATGTGGCCCCAGGGGGGAGGGAGTTCTTCTGTCATTTTCTTCCGTTTCAATGTTTTCTATTTCTGTTTGTTCCTCATATAGATTTTGTTTATTTGATGGTGGTGTTGGTATGGGTAATTCTTCGGAATGTGCAACGGGACGAATAGCAGTAGGTAAATTTGGGTACTCTATCTTTTTTTTCCCTTTCTTATTAATGCCAGAAATTTTGCATAAACAAAAATAACAATCTATGGCATGATTTGTCGGTTCCCTCCATATCATGGGAATCGCAAATGGCATGGCTTTTCGTGTACCTCTTACCCAAGCTAAAAGAACTGTGGCACAGCGTTGGCAACAAACATGTGGAGCCCACTGTTTATCCTGGTCACTGATTTTGCATCCAAAATAATGTTCGTATGCAAACCTTATTAAAGGTGTTATACTTCTGCACTCAGAGTTTAAAACTACCTCCCCACAAATATAACAAAAAGAGTCTGGTGGATTTCTACACATTCGCGACATTGTTAAGTACTATAAAATGTATATTACACAACACTAAATACTATGCACTATTATAAATTACAAAACACTACACTATAACAACACATAAAATACGCTATATACTACATATAATAAGTCATAAAATATGCACTAGAGTGTCAAAAAACTATGTACTAAAGTAACTTATAAAATGTTATGCACTAAAGTGTCAAAATACTATGAACTATAATAACTTATAAAATGTTAAACACTATACCAACACACGTTTTTACTCTATATGACGGAAGACTTTTTGAATTGCTTAGGACGACTGACTCGGACAATTTTCAAAACGAAACTAAATTCAGACTTCAACAGTGCATAGCAAGCCAGAGAATTTCAAGATATTTATTGTTTCTTTGATTGTATCGAGTGTTCGAAACAAACGACAAGTGGTGCTTATATTTAGAAAGAGCGCTACATTGTATTACATTTTCATTTCGAAAAGGCTTTCAATAGTATACTGAATTTCCAAGAAACCTTCTTATAATTTTCTTGAAAATCATAGCGTAGAAAATTATATTTCCATGATAAATAAACTTCCATATTTTTAAATTCGTTTACTGCAGGTAATTCTTTATCTTATACACTTTATTCTTTCTATATCATAAACAAATTTCAAAATTGACTTCAATCGACTGTCGATTGATAAAGTCGTAATGCTTGTCAATCGATTTTAAAATTTTAAATTAAAGTAACAAAACAAAAATCAAACATTATAGATATAAAAGATGAATGTATATTAAACCCCACCATTAGTGTTGATTACGCGTAGCTACGGCACTGACTAGGCGAAGAGAGCGAGCTATGGCCGCCTGGCGGCAAAACGCCGTGCACGCGTCTCCGGCAGATATTTTTTCGATTTACTCGAAGTGCATACTGCTTCAATACTTACCCCATATACTTTCTTCTTCGGAAATGTCTACAGAATTCGGTACTGTATAGAGAATTCGCGCTAGATAGAAAACTTTTCTTAAAAATACAAAAGTAATACGTACGAAATATGTGCGCCGGCTATTTTTTAAACTTTCATCAACATTTACATCTATTCAGAACCATGTAATATAATAACTATATATATGAATGTATTCGGGAAACTCTCCTCTATCTTATGAGACCAATGCGAATGTTCTAGCGCTTTTAGTTTCCGCGTAATAGGTCATTTTCCCCCCAAAATACATGTTTTTACAAAAACTCGTGTTTTTCGAAAACTGAGGGTGATAGAGCAATTCGGTTTTCGGATTCGTGTTCAGGACGAGAAGCTCTACAACGATCACCCAGTGGCTATTAGAAAACAGAGAAAAAGTTAAAATTTGTTGGACAGTGTAATTTCTCGCATTTAAGACTCTAGAAGAGTTTTGGAAACATCGAAAGGATTCGCATTTTAATAATTTAATGATTTGAAAAGTTTAAAAAGAGAGGATTTATTTTGTTGACAATTGGATTCAAAATTTGCAAAATTGTAGTTATAGATTATAGTTATATATATAGATTTATAGATTTTAAATCATCATATAATGATATTAGAATTAAAAGGAGAGGATATATTTTTTAGCAATTGGATCAAAAATGTATAAAATTGCTGGAGATTTTAAAGTTTGAAATTTCGTATTGTATTATGTAATGATGGCGGTAAATAAGCATTAATTCTTTCCACACAAGCTTCATATTAGCGTTGGATTAAGGAAAAAGGTAAATATGTACAAAATGACCCCAGTCGCGCATGATCTTGACCTTGACATATGTTGTCAAGGTCATGACCCTGAGTAACCTTGACCTTCACAAACGTGGCCGTCGCGATCCGTGCAAAAGTTATGAAGCATTAAAGTTTTCGATTTCCGGTTTAAGACTCTCCTAACGGGGAAGGTTGTAAACGTAATTACTAATAATAATTGGATAGTGCCTGTAATTAATTAGTTTTTATTGTGTCTATTAATTTCACAACGGATACATTCTACGCATAATACGAAAGAATGCATCAATTCTTTCGTTGAAAATGTACTTTTTTTTAAAAACGAATTCCGCCAAATAGTGAATATAATGCCTTTCTACAATGCCAAATCGAGGTATTGTTCCTCGCATGTCTCTCCATAATCTCTCTATATTTTGAGTATGGACACTAGTTTGTGGATCCACCAAATTTCTACTATGATTAATTACATAATGACTGTAACCATAATTACACAGAGTGTCGTATGCACGCCAGCAATCAGAATGAATAACTGAACCAGGAGCAATTCGACGCTTAGTGATATCGATAAGAGTGCTACTGGTGCGATCCTTCATGGGCGCGATAAACATTTTGCCACTGACTCGTTCAATGGCACCGAATACCCACTGACCTTTGACGATTCGTCCTCTATTATATTTTCGCTTTCCCACTTTTGCCTCATCAATCTCAACGATAACGCCTGATCCTCCAAGTAATTCTTCGTCAGTTATAATCCACTGTTCAAGTAACTGTAATAGGACAATTTCATTAGACAAGTAAACATAATTAAAAATTGGGAAAATGAAACCATTGCGAGAAAGAGCATTCTAACATGCACATATTGCTTGCCGGTCAGTGTTGTTGTTTATAAAAATAGTAGACGACAAGCGGCACTCTCTTTTTGAATTTTGGCATGCGTGGCCGACCGCCTTACTGCAGTCGGAATATTAATTTAACCTAACCTAACTTAATCTAATACAAAATTAAATTAGTGAACTTTTTAATCAGTGAATTAGGTTTGGTTAGGCTAGAACAATATTCCGGCCGCCGTTAGACGGCCGGCCACGCAAATCGAAATTCAAAATCATTAAAATCAGTTAAGTTCGATTTTTTAGTTCTCCCGTTATACTCCTTAGGTTTCGGTCGCCGCAATCTGTTTATATAATTGGTAATTATATAATGAGAAAGCAGCATCTTTACGATTTTACCTCAGAGTGATAAAATATTCTCAGTGTTTTAAAGTAGAATATCTTTTTATTTTACTTAATTCACGACAGAAATTGGTCCAATCAACGACAGTGCGTGCAGATAAACCCAATTGCTCTTGTAAAAATAATTGGCGTGGTGGCCGAATCATTGAAAAATACGCAATAAATCTGCAAGTTTTCACCATTCCAAGATGTCCGTGAGAAAACCACGTGTCAGCTAAAGCATTTTTCCCAAACGTGCAAATAACTCGTCGTTTCTTCTTCTTACATTTTTCGATATAAGATTTGTTTCGACACTTGAATCTTAACGATTTATCATCAAAATCAAGTTCGATAATATTATTACATTTTGGACATGTAATCCGATCGCGAATAACTCCTTTATTGCATAAAAATCTAATTAAGGCAGTGTGGTCGTATGTTAAGTGTAGAAAATCATGTAACAACATGTTTCCCTGTCTACAGTGACTCGTCAGATAGATTAGATCTATTCGAAGTGTGGGATAAGAGTATTTAAACGCGTGTCGTTTTGGAGCAGAGAATGATCTCTCGATGCTCCGTGACGGACTCTTATATTTACTGCTGGGGAGGGGGTGTACCTTCGGTGACCGGTTTCAACTCCGCACGTGGCCGGAGGATCATATTTTGCCTTTAACTGAATTTGTTTTTATAGATAGGAAAGAAAAGATACTTGGCTGTTAGCCGTTTTGGCCGTTACGCCGGAGGCATGGTAGCGACCCAACCGCTACAGAAGCTACAGAATAACCTTCTGTTGATCAGAAAGAATGCCTTCTACCAACTAAAGTTGAACAAGGGAGGAGCGAAAAGTGGAAACGGAGAAAAATTTATTAAGGAAAATTTGAGAGCGTTAATTGGCCAAGAAAATAAGTTAGGGTGGAGAGTGGGGGTTAACAATTCTGGAAGCGACGATTATGTCTATTGTTACGACTATTGCTGCTTTTCAACACCGTGTTTATGTTCCATGTTTGCACTTTTTACGCGTGGAAGGTCCACGCTAAAGACATCCTGGGCTTCCCGTTCAGCGTGTGTGGCTATGTACGTGCAGACGAACAATTGTTGAACACTTCTTACAAGTCGAAAACTTTAATGCTTCATAACTTTTGAACGGATCGCGACCGCCACGTTTGTGAAGGTCAAGGTTACTCAGGGTCATGACCTTGACAACATATGTCAAGGTCAAGGTCATGGGCGACTGGGGTCATTTTGTACATATTTACCGGAGAGTGGAACACACCCTGAACTGTTGCACCGTTCAAAGTTTTTAACACTCGGACTATTTCTACGTTATTATTAATGTAAACTACAATAATAAAAAAAAAAACGAATTTTAAAATAGAACAATATAGGGAATTTGTTACGCTAACAATCGGAATTATGTCTGGAAGAGATAAACTATCTCGAAATTTCAAGGATCGTTTTTGCGTTCAATCCGGGGAGGTCCGGAATGCAAGACAAGCTATCGATGTTCATGGTTTCCTGTCGCACCTCCAACCAAGGTCGAGGGTACGACGGATCAAGATGCTGGGAGCAGGCCCATCAAAAAGAGGACAGCAGGGGGGGAGACAACATGGCTTTCGCCTAGACAATCGGTGGTAAGCGCAGTCTCAAAATTAGGGAGACCATTTCCGAGGAAGCGGAAGGACACCGGATCCAGCGTATACTGAGGATAATTCAATGATGTGCCCGCCTAGTACGGAGGACAATTTGATGATGGGGGGGGGGGGGGGCACAAGGTGAATATGTACAAATTTCTGTTCGGAACGTAACAGTCCTCCCTCCTTAGAATCATCGTCGTCCCCGACGATGTCTAAAGTATATTTCGCAACCGGGTATCAGTTTTACGGTGCTACGGTAAGCCTGGGATACTCCCGTAATGCTAAGCACTGGACTTATCGTAGCTCGGAGGTCAATCTATGGAAATAATGATAACGATTGGTATCTGTAATGACAAGTTCGCCGATTATACTGTACGTGGAGAAACTTGTTTAGTTGGTATGCAATAAGGGAGCTAATGCCGGTTCCGCCCGCGTATATTATTAACGATCTGAGATTATTGGAAGTAATGTTTTTCGCACAGTCTAGTACCGGTTTTCCAATATTTCTACATCCCTCTAAGTCTATTTGGATCAATTGTGTACAATCCCTTATGGCAACGCAAATATCTTCATCCATGATACCTAGACTGTCTCTACAGCGTATTATAGTTAATGCTTTTAATAAACGGAACACTTGGCCTCCCACCGACGAATGCATGCAGTTCACGTCCAAGATTCTTAGATTTTTCAGGGGTGAAAGGGGGCCCAGACCAGAATTTCCCAGTATGTTGGTACAACCACTTAGATCGAGGGTGGTCAGGTGCGGCATATTTTCGCTAATTTCCTGAAGTAGATACGTTGTTACCCATCCACAGAAAGTCAGGCTCAATTCTTGGATCTGGTGATAACGGCGCGGCAGTGGGATGACATATTCCACCGGCCCAAGATCCAACTCAACGTAATCCTCCTCTTATATGTCTTGTAGGTTCGCCCCTACCTTAAGTGATGGTTCCGTGAATGTACAGTAATGAAATCTGATTGTGCGTAATGTATTAGGTAGGTGACTATTGTTGGAAAGGGCCTGTAAAATTGTGTGATTAGTTAGTGATAGGCATGCATTTATGTCTATGGTTTCTAAAGTTTATAAATTCGCTATGGCAGCGGCCAGAAAGAATGAATTTAATCTGTTGCATTCTTGTAAAATCAAATGTAATTTTGGATTGATACTTATAAGCGCCTTTACAGTCATCGCAGCTTTTATAGCCTTTAAGATGGTCAAGGCTTTAGCTGTTTCGAATAATGCCTGTAATTCTGATTCTGTTACGCCCCTACATCTCCCCAAACCTAAGCTGGTGAGTTTCGCTCCTACCTCTTTTAAGTTTCTAATTGCAGAAGGTCTGACTATTGCGGATGTTAAATCGATTTTGGTTAAATTCGGGCAGTGCTTAATGGCAACTGCAATTATTTGTGGGCTTAGCTTTTCGGCTATAAATTTTTCCATTATTTTAAATGATCTAAGGTATGTTCCTGCTCTTGTGATTAACCAGTAAAGTGTTTCCGGGGTCATCCTTTTCCCTTCCCATCTGTTCGGCCAACGTCAATCGTTATATCCAGATGTCGGATATCGGTATAGGATGAGAGACTTCCAAGTCGCCACCACCTTGACACCAGTTCCAGTCTGAAACGATCCTCAAAGGTTAGGTACTGGGATATTTCCACCATCATTTCTAATGGTTATAGGTTCGCCGGAGCCAGTTCGACCTCCGGAAGGGGATGCACGGCAGGCAGTGGTATGAGTTTTACTTCATCCCGAGGATTCGCTGGAGAAATCTTGAGTCTTCTTCCTTGACATACAATGACAAAGCTTCCTGCTTCCAACGCCTGGTTCACACCCTCCTTAGTCCGGAACCTGTTGATCTTTGTAGAACCACTGCATATTGGCTCGGGAGCCCATTTGCTGCAACGTGTGCATTGGACCCAGTTGTCACCACGAACGCTCCTACTATAAAGCTCTTCGCATACTAAACATTCAGCATCATCTTCTGATGCTGATTGTGAGGTCGAATCTTTCTTGGATATTTTGATTTTATTTGTTTTTATCTTATCTTTTATAACCATTTCTAGGTTACGTGAGCATTTTTTTTAAAATTTTTTCTCTTTCTTCCTTCAGTGCTTCTTTTACGGGCGTGTCGGTCAGAATAGCACTTCGTCTCTTTCTTCTCAGCTTTCTAGTGGTCTGCCGTCCTGCTGCTTTCGGAAATGGTTTTATTTCTTCAGAACTTAATATTTTAGTTATAAATGGATTTTCATTTATTTCATTTGCATTTTCTTCCATGTCAAGAGGATGTTCATTTATACATGCATTGACTGTAGGTAGCTGTTCAGTGTCGACTATCAAATCTGTATTTTCATTCATAGAAATAGGTCTGTCTGTTAGATCTGTCTGATAGGTCTGTCTGATAGATCTCGAAAGGTGTTTGTTAAAATTTTCATTAATGTATCCTGTGGTAACTCATTAGTCAAGTCTCCAACTTGTCAAATTCTAAAAGTTTGAATGTTTAATTGTAAAAGAGTTTGTTTTAAATTTTCTAAGCCGGTTTTTAAAGTTTCTATGGATAATTTATCAAACTAATGTTTTTTGATAATTACGCTGAAAATTTTGTACTTTCCACGCTTCGTTACTAAAACTTGACTTAATTTTGGCTTTACTGTTTGCAAATTATCTGAATTAATTATGCCCAAATCTGAGAGTAACTTACCAATAGGTGAGGTTAAATAACAGTCAGAAGAAATGAAATGAACATAATTTGAATGATAATACGTTAAATTTTTCCAAGAATAGGTTATTATCTTCGGCATTTCATAGCGTGAATTTCGTGACTGATTTTGTGTTGAGTTTTGTAAATCTGGAGGTATGTTTTCAGTAGTTTGGATTCTCGTGAAATCTGGATCATTCATAAATTTCGACAATCGTTTAGACACAGCAGCATCCTTTCCTCCCTCCTTAGAATTCTGTCTGAATTTTATTTTGGGGTTATGAGTGGATAATGCTAAGGGTGGAGACGTAGGAAATTGTATGTCAGTTGTGGAATTGTCAAACTGTTTTTGTAATTGCTCTAATTGTTCCTGTAAGTTTTCGTCGCTTATTCCAAAGTCAGAATGTAGAATTTGCGTCTGTTGAAGCGTCGTGTCTTCGTCGGAAGTAGTATCAGAAAATTTTTGTTGGCTTTGCTTTAAAGTTCGAGTGGTTTCATCGTCGCTATCGCTGTCGTAAACTTCGGGTAATTCAACTATTATGTTTTCACCTGATCGTACCATTTCTTGATTTTGCTGGATTTCGTCAATTACAGGAGGTGCATTTTCTTTTTCCGGAACCTTGGGGATCACCCAGCATTCGTGATTCCGAATAAAATTCCAAATTAGGTAATACGCTTCTGCGTCGACAGAATTTCGGGGGCTCTGACAATTCGTCGTCTGAACTATCGTCGGAAGATTCGGAAATACGTTCTGTAAGCGGATGTGAGGGTTCTGTAGGATTTGATGGAAGTTGCGTTTTTGATCTTGTTCTAGTCGCTATTCCTTCTGGATTAATGGTTATAGGACGATCTAGTGGGATACTTCCACGACAAATAGTCTCGTAGACCGCCCGTTTTGCCTCACTCGATACCAGATTCGTTGTGTTAAAGTTAGAATAAGCGACTCACCAATTCGATGTAAAATAATAATGTATTTAGATATGTTTAGCTTTCTGATAATTGCTGGTGATAGTCTGGAATCTGGAAAAGCGAAGAAAGGATGAAAACTTGTCGCACGCACTACGCGTTCGCGATTAAGCCTTTGTTACGGTGTTACGGATTACGAAATACGAATTACGAAACACAATATTCGAAAACAACGCGGCGCGGAAAAAGGAAAATATTAATTATCGAACGATTTAAAACGAAAGAGAAAAGATAGATTATTGAAAAGTGTGAAAAGAATTTAACGTATTCGTATAAGTCTTTGCCGCGAACAAACGTGAATCTCACACTCCCGGCACTCATCTTCTTGATTTCCCATATAGTGAAGAGCAGCTCCTCGGTTGACCTCTCTTTTGGGACACGTTGAGCTCAAATGCCCCACCTGGCCACACTTAAAGCACGTTGGCTTGCTCACTGTACAATTTTGAGCAAGATGTCCTGGCTTCTTGCAGGTAAAACAAACTCTCTCCTCTGGTGTGTTTCCTCTACGGCTTGGCACCTGCATGGATGTCTTTCGTACTGGAAACTTGTTTGCAGGCTCCATTCTGCGCATAGCTATGCTGTCCTCCGTGATTTTCCTAACATGCTCCATAAAGTCTGGCACATTTGTAATCCATGTATCCAAAATTAATCTACTGAAAGCAGGGTCTTTCACTCCATCCGCTAATAGCTCAATTTTCTACCTTTCATTCAGAGTCAACGTTTGCATTAAATTTAATTTCGCTTCTGCATATTCAACAAATTTCTCCGAATATGACTTCCAAATGCGAGCGTTGATTCTGGTCATCGTCGCCGTATATGTTTCTTTCCGTTCAAAGTACCGTCTGATTTGAAATTTCAACTCCCATTCCGTAACGGACTCTAGCGGTCTAGTTGGCTCGACCTTGGAGTTGGCTAATGGCCGCCACCAACATGGTGTTATTATTGAAATTATACATACGTGCGATACATGAGATCCTGTCAAGCCATCTCAGTATACATTCCTCCTCTTTACCCCCAAAGGAGGGAATCAGCTTTCCCGCACATTTTACTAACAAGGAGAGTGCAAGGCCTTCGTCTCACCGATTTCGTTGAAACTTTGCACACTTATAGATCTCGTTCTCCTGTTTACGAGTATATACCATTATAGGAGCAGATAGTAGTTTTTGAAATATTTATAATTAAAGTTTTATTATTACCTTAAAGTAGATTTTAGTTGCGGCGACTACCAACTGTAACGGTGGCGCAGTGGTAACGTATCAGGCTTGTATGTACATCGACGATCCGGGGTTCAAATTCTGCGTGGTGTGAGTATGAATTTTTTTTGTTCCAGTTAATTGAATTGCACAATTACTTGTTATTTACAACAGTGGTACTTGTCGTAAAAGCACGGGAAGCATAGTGCACAAAAGCATTTTGCACATCGAACAAATACAGTATTGTTGCATGAACATTTACTT